AACCTTAAGTAAAAAGAGAGAGAGAAAGGGAGAGAAAGGATTAAGGCCATCAGGTAGCATGGAGGTTAAGGCAGCTGGATCCCACATAGCCAACTCCATGGTTCTAGCCCTGGACCCAGTGACTTGAAAATCATGCTGGGCAGGCATGCGTGCATGTGTGTGTGTGTGTGTGTGTGTGTGTGTGTGTGTGTCCAAAATCCTGAGAGGAGAATGATAGAGAAGGAATTGTAATGTGGCCATCCTGCCTGGAGTGATGATGTCTTACTTTCTCTCTTGTCTCTCTCTAGTAAGTGCTGATGGGTTAGAATGGAGTGAGGGGCTGGAGAGATGTGGGCAGCATGAGGTCATTGTCCCTCTCTCAGCCTTAAACTATGATGTCCTTGTCCTAGCTATAAACACTGCTTTTTCTCTGTTCTGCTCCAGGATTCCTGGTTCCTGCTCCTTCCTAGAACCCTATGCTCATATTCCTTGGCAATGAGGAGATGAGCTTCTGTGGATCTTGAGGCCCTTTCCCCAGGGCACACTTTGCAATGGTTCCCTACCTCTAAACAAGGACCAGTGTACTCTTTCTGGTTGCAAGATTCCTGGGTCAGGGAGACTACAGGCACTACTCCTGCCAGCCTGGGTGATAACAGAAAACACCAACTATCTTGGGGCTCCTGCACTTTGCCCTCTCCACTGAGTTCGTTGTTCTCAGCATCCCTCATACCCAGGGCTAGTAGCCTGGGAGTACTGCTTAGCTGGAAAGCTGTGGCAGGTGAGAGGAGAGAAGGCAGTGAGGCAGTAACAGCTGCCAGCCGGAATGCAGGAAGAGCAGGGCCCCAAGTGGGTATGGGCAGAAGGCAAGACACTATCTCTGGCTGCCCCCCACCCCCTCCCCATGTGTGGGTAGTCAGCTCAGCCACCTTCCCTAGCTCTCCCTATTAAACACTGCTGTTCAGAAGGCAGGCTCTCCTCATAGTCTAAACTCTGGTCTAAAATAGACCTCAAATGTCATCTGACCCAACTCCTCCCATAATCTGGTGTTGGTCACAGATTAACAACATTTCCTCTAAGGGTCCACCTGTATCAGGCCAGATGTCCTGGTAGCAGGAGCTCACCTACTCCTACAGCAGTCTGTTCCTTTCTTGGAAGGTATTCTGACGTGCCTATACTATACAGGTACTTTATAGATTTCTCAATAATGACTGTTGCAGGGCTGCTATGATTAATTAGCCCCACTTTACAGATGAGAAAAGTGAGTCTCAGGGAGCTGAAGTCTCTAGCTCAAGGTCATACAGGTAGTAAATAAAGGAGCCAGGTTTGAACCTAGGTCTTTTAAACTATGAAGCCCCCCTGGGGCCAAGCAAGACATGCTTCTTTTGTACCATAACAACTTGTCTGAGGTGTGAAGCCAGCGCGACCACATCCTTCTGAGTCTCCAGGTGGAATATTTCCTTCAAATTTTTCCAGGGAAATTTGGGTTCCAGGTTTTTCCTCAACTTGGTTAGTGTGAGACCTAGAGCCAAATACCCAATCTGCCAGGTATGAGCCAGTCTAGAATAAAGCAGAATTATCATATCATTCCTAAGCACTGATTTTTTAAAATGTGGCCCTATGACTGGTTAGTGAGTTAGGGACTCTCCTTCCCTTGGGCCTCTACCCTACTTTAATCAAGAGCTAGGAGAGAAGAGTCCAGGATTTTGCTTCTATCCCCACCATTCCCTCCCCCTGAATTTTCTGAACTGAGGGCAAGAAAGAGGCTGGGGTGAAGGTGGGAGGCAAGGCAATCAGATACAGGCATGGAAGAATTGGGAGGGGGGCTGAGGTAGTTGTCTAGTAACTTTAGGTAGGACCAAGAGGGTCAAGGGGCTAGGACCTAGTGAGTGCCCAGAACCATA